AGCAGCCAGGCCAGGAGAGGTCCGGTGTGTAGACGGGGAAGAAGGGAAGGAGGTCCGTGCGTGAAGCATTCGTTGTTCGTTCGTTGTCATTCATCGTTCGTCATTTCGTTTAATCATCTCGTTTTCCGCTAACCTCATCGTTGAGAGGTGAGTAGTTGTCCTCTCTAATTCTAGAACACCAAGTTATAATCTATGTTGTTATATTCATAGGAATATCGTACGCAACCTACGTAGAATCTATGCATGTTTGTAGGTTAGCCATCAAAACGTTCACTACGTAAAAATCGTATATATTGGCCTAGGAATCACTAGGAATATATTCATAAATGTTTACATTATTGTCCTAAAAAGAATCAAGGCGTTAAGTTCACAAAACGGATCAAAACGAAGCCAAAGTCAGTGGACTGTCTACGGGACGGTGGACCGCCGCTAAGGACGGTGGACCGTTTCCCTTGACCGTCCGTCGGCCACCACCGTGACGGTCGACCGCCGTCCGCGACGGAAGACTACGGTGGACCGCCGGCATCCCAGTCCTCCACAATGTAGCCCACGGTCGACCGCCGGTGGGGTACGATCGACCGTTTCCCGGGAAGTTTTTCGGACAGTTTGTAGAACGAGCCCCGTTGACCATATTGACTCAGAATATGATTGTATGTTTGTATGAAATGTTAATATTCATTATAATGTTATTTAATTGATATATTCTTGGCGTTGACCAAAGGTAAATATATCAAGCATTCATCATGTTCATTCTAGACGCATGTCCTAGGTTTATCATCATGAGCATACCACTGTAGGGAGGTCAGGCTTTCGTGCGCCTACTACAGTGGGCCCGTCCAGGAACCTTTGGGATCCAACCGGTTTTCATCAGGTGGGCTTTGTGTACGTACATGGTAGTCAGGCTACGGCTACCACCCAGTTTTGCTAGTTCACTTGCGACATTTTCGTCGAGTCCGGCTCGTTACCGGAGTGCAGGGGTGATCCTGTCAAGTGAGACTAAGCCAGGGGTGTCCCTGATAGTTTAAGTCATGCATCAAGTCATATCGTCATCATGTGGGTTCCATGTCATGTCAACATTAAATGTGGTCGTCATCATCATGCATGTTCCACGTCACATCAACATTCAATGTGGTCGTTATTCATTTTGTTATGTGTAATAATATTCCATCAAGTGCAAATTAATCAGTTAGTAAACATGTGATTTTCCGTACGTTAAAGTACAGGTATTAATATGTGTATAATCATATGGGTTATCACTTCATGTTCTTTTGTTAGATTCACTCCTCAGCTTTTGCTGAGCGTGTAGTTGTTTTTGCTACACGCAGGTAGACATGACGGTACAGGTACTAACCCTGGAGAACAGTGATGATGGGAAGATGGGCGGTGCACGGACGAGTCTAATAATTATAACCAGTTAATTAATTAATCATTTGGGCATGAACCCACCATATGTCGTTTTACTCATTTTGGACTTATTTATTTACTTCCGCTTTTACTCTGCATTTATATCACTCACGTTTTGGGAATAACTCCTAGCATTTATTCCACTAATTAAACCCAACCATTTTCATAATTAATAAGCATTAATGTTTTTCTCTACGGACGGTTCTCGGACCGCCCGTGTAACCCTACCGGTCCGTTGGGTCGCGGGTGAACCGGGTCCACGGAAGGCGGGTGTTACAATTTCTATATTTTAATCTATATTGTAGTTACCTGTTACAAAATACGTTCCTATAATTATCAAACTCCAATTAACAGATTTCATAATATTCCCAACTTCAAAATATACTTAAAGAAATACATCACCCATAAAAACAACAAAATCAAATGGAGAAATACATGCAAGCATAATGTATAACATGAGAATATTATTATATATTATAGCCATATATATAGAGGAGATATAATATGATTCATTCCAATAATAATTATATTATTACTAGTTTCCCTGGCAGCTGGGGAGCAAAGTGGCCGGCCGGTTGGGTACGGTGTAACAATATATGGGCGGATAGGGAAAATGTGAGGAAGTTTCTCAAAGAACGATGCATGGTGACAAATAAACTATATATAGTTCATAACTTCATATGAAGAAAAAAAATCCAATATATTTTCATGTAGAAAAGGGAGCCAAGTTAATTAGGGACTTTCCATGACATCAGAGCCTCGTGTCATGGGATGACCTGGGACCACTACAGTGTCCTGTTCGTAAAATTGACGGTTTCTACTCCCGGTAAATCCCTCACTCTACCGTAACCCGAACACCCCCTCCACCCACGTCAATTGCACCTCAAGTTAATTTTGATTATGGAGTCAAAATTGACTCTAAAGTCAAAATTAACTTGGGTGCAATTGAAGAGGAGTGTGCTCGGATCTGGTGTTAGAATATAAGAAACATTTCTTGGGTCACAACCACAAGTTTGAGCTTTTGGTTGGATTGGTTCCTTGACATGGTATCAGAGCCTTGTTGACTAAGAGATCACGGGTTCGAAACTCAGCGTCGTCCATTTTTTAAAAAAATTAAAGTTTCACGTGGAAGACTAAAAAAAAAAGACTACACCTGCACGTGAGGGGGTGTGTTAGAATATAAGAAACATTTCTTGGAGCACAACCACAATCTTAAGCTTTTGGTTGAATTGATTCCTTGACATGAGGGCAGGTAGGGGAATTTTTTGGGGGTTGAAAAAATATATATTTTCATGTAAAAAAAGGGAGTCTAACACTTTTTTTGGTCCAAGGAATTTGAATGGGAAAAGAAAAGAAAATGAAGTGGAAAACATTTTTTCTTGTTTGGTTAGAGGGGAAAAGAAAGGAAAAATGGAAGGAAAAGAAAATGAGAAGACAAAATATACCAAGGGAAGGGAAAACCAAATTCCTTCCATTTTGGTGAGGAAAATGAGAGAAAATCATTTTCTTTACTTTTCCTTTCAAATTCCTTGAACCAAACATAGTGTAAGTTAATTAATGCAATACAAACTCTTGCAAGGGTCCATAGTGTCTCTAGCTAGTTGAAACGTATATGGCATTGCCTGCGAACCAAATAAACACATTTCAGGCGGCAGGGTCGTCTCTCTTATTCACCCCCCACATCTTCACATGCTTTTGTTATATTACTCCGTATTATATTATATTCCATATACTATATATACTCCCTCCGTCCCAAAAAGATTTACACCTTTCAAAAAATTGAGTCCCACAATCTCCTACCCATTTCTATTAAAAAACCACTTTTATCCCTTATTTTTTCAAACCCTATCTATCACATCATACCTTTTTCCTAATAATCTACACATCACATCCTACTTTTACCCATCACATCAAGGGTATTTTTGGAAAGTCAACACAAAATTATCTCTTCCTTAATTTCTACTTTAGTCAAAATGGGTAACACTTTATGGGACGGAGGGAGTATTTTATATCTATCTCTTTCTATATTTTTTTCTTTCTTGGCCCTTCTCTATTTAAACTTGTTGTGCGTATATATATCAAATTAAACATGTCCTACTACCACACAATGAAGTATATAGTATGAATTGCCTTTGAATGTAAATCTTATTGCCTTTACTCCATTAATTAGATATTACACTTTTGCATTTATATTAAATATTAAATCAAAATTCTTTTACTTTGAATGTTTAGCTGCGTTATTTGTTCATATTATACTTCATCTGTTCTTAAAATTTTTTCTCTTTTTTTCTTTTTCTCAAAAGAATTGGGTAATTTATCTAAATAGGACTAAAACATAATGACTTTCTCAATATAGGATCATATGTTTTTATTTCTCAATATAGGGCCATTGGTCATTATCTATTAGTCATTATTCAACTAAATGTCCAGCATCACTTGAGCATTATTCTTCTCACTAGACATTATTAAGTCCTATTTAGGGAATAAAAAAGTTTAAGTCCTACATTGGGAAATAATTTATGTTTTAGTCCTATTCAGTGCAAATTTCACTTTCTTAATCTATGTGTCTAGTTAAATAAGAATATACTCTCTCCATTTGGTAAATCACTTCCTAATTTAACCAATGACCAAAATAAGATCGAAATGGTTAAATTGTACGGAGTAGTTGATTTTCTAAATATTATCCTCGATGTGATGGGTAAAAGTATGATGCGATAGGTATGGTAAAACAAAAAAATAAAGGTAAAATTAAAGTATTTTTTAAGGTTGAAAGTCAAAATATTTTGAGAAAAGAGAAAAAAATGAACAAAGAAGTGTTTTAGTAAACAAAGAGAGTGTTTTTTTGGAAGCATTTGAGTGGGTACATTTAAACACGGTTTAATTTTTGGGAAGCATTTGAATATATGGTTGTTTAAAAACGGATAATATTAACATGAAAAATACTAGAGCTACAATAGAATAATGAATTTAATTGAATTTTATTGTGTGTTTGATACAATATTTTTGGAGAAGATTAAAGAACTAATTACAAAAGAACAAAAAGTGGTAACTTATTATGCATCCATATAAAATGGAGTAATTTACTTAAATATGACTAAAATATAATGACTTTCTCAATATAAGACCATATGTTTTTATTTCCTAATGTAGGACTTTTAGTCATTATGAGTTAGTCATTATTCAAGTAAATGTCCATCATTACTGGACATTATTCCTCCACTAAGACATTAATAAGTCCTATTTAGAGAATAAAAACGTTTAATTCCTAGATTAAGAAAGTCATTATGTTTTAGTACGGAGTACTATTTAGTGCAAATTTCACTATAAAATGATGATGATGATGATGATGATGATGATGATGATGATAATAATAATAATAATAATAATAATAATAATAATAATAATAATAATAATAATAATAATCCGTGTATGATAATTTGGAGTTGATGTGACGTGGAGGTCCTTAGAAAACCAAACATAAACTACGACCACTCAAAGTCTTTCATCATCCCCAATTCAATTATTTAATACTTGTACGTAGTATTTTTTAAAGGAATTATTCTATATATATAGCCCCTAAACCTCCTCATCTCTCAACAAGCAATTCAACTTTTAAGTAGCAAACACAACTATACTTTTCCTCTCCATCATCACTACCTAGCTACTTCATACAAGCAAGAGCCCTTTATTATTTCATACACAAAAAAAAAGTTAAATGGGGATTAGGAAATCAAAGAAACTCGCAGTGGTGCAGACAGCGATGATGAAGCAGATTCTCAAGAAGTTGGGGAAGAGACACGGCTACGACGAAGAGGGTTTGCCGATAGATGTGCCAAAAGGGCACTTTGCGGTGTACGTGGGAGAGAACAGGACGAGGTACATCGTCCCAATCTCCTTCTTGGCAGAACCCGAATTCCAAATCCTACTGCATGCTGCAGAGGAGGAATTTGGGTTTGACCATGACATGGGACTCACCATCCCCTGCGACGAGTACGTGTTCGAAAGTCTAACCTCGGCTCTTGTTCGGTAATTAATTAGTTATTAATTAATTGCCGATTAAGAAGGTCATGATCATCAATTAACTAGCTTTGTTGGATGAGTACTTTTGGATCATGGAGGTGAAGCTAATTAACGCCGGCCGGCAAGGACGTGAAACGACGTCGTACAACCACATGCATGCGCCTACGTACACGTTCTACGTGACATTTATGTATGGAGCGATGATGGCTGCTTAATATTAGTTAATTTATATATTGTAATCTAACTTATTATTAAGGGGAGATTACCATATTTAATTAATTAATTAACTAATTTCAAAAAAAGAGAAAAGAAAAAAAGAGAGGCTATATATGAGTAGTACCCTTTAATTAATGAATTCCTTGCAGTGGTGATTGGTTGTAACTAATATAGGTTCCCTGCGAGCTGAGGATCGATCCAGATTGGCTATATATGTATGTACTACTACTACATCATTCTAAAATTCATTTAATGTTCTTTTATTCAAATACAATTTCCTTAATCTTGATTGTTTTCTTTTTCAAGCCCTCACTAGTTTAATTGGTTTCGTTTTTTTTAAAAAAATATTCCTATATGTGTTAACTTAATTAATAATATTATTAATCAGCTTCTTTAATGAATAATTACTTACACAATTAAAATAAAAGGGATAGAGAATGAAAGTAATTAAGCGAGTGAGGAGTGGAGCCAAAATAATTAAATGAGAATTAATGAGTGTAGGTAGGCATGCACCTACATAGAGACATAAAAGAAAATGTGTTGTATGAAAAGGGAGAGTACAAAGTGCGACAAGTTCACATGCCCAACTGCGGAAGTGGGACTGAAGCGTTACATCTGAGCAGGCAAAGTGTGCAATTATATAATATATACATACATAGACGACGGTACGTACGTACTGGATGGTTGGCCTGGGGTTGGTTGGGTACCTTCCATTGATCAGTACGTATATATGTGTGTAGTAGCTGTAAAAATAAGTACACTGGTCGGGTAGCCACTTAGTCACTCATCCATATGTAATATGGGCAATATGCCAAACACATAAGTCCCAAAAGTCCAAGAAGGTTCCATCCTAAATATATACTCCCTCCTTCCCATAAAGATGGGTACGTTTTGATTAAAGTAGAAATTAAGGGAGAGATAATTTTATGTTGATTTTCCAAAAATACACTTGATGTGATGGGTAAAAGAATGATGTGATGTGTAGATTATTAGAAAAAAGGTATGATATGATAGGTAGGGTTTAAAAAAGTAATGGGTAAAAATAGTTTTTTAATAGAAATGAGTAAGGGATTGTGGGACGAGATTTTATATGAAACGTGTAAATCTTTTTGGGACGGAGGGAGTATGTATATATAGTTCTTTGGTGTTTCTTAAGTGGTGGGTAAATAGTTTTTGAACTTTAAAAAGTTGACAAATACTCCCCCCGTCTAAAAAAGATTTACACGTTTCATATAAAATCTTTGTCCCATAAAAAACTAAACATTTTCCTACAAAAAACATTTCTACCCTAAAACCTAATTTCTACCCAACCCTCAAACCCCACCAATATTTCTACCCATCCCCTCATCCATTCATCATTTCTTCTCTATCTCTCTCTTGCTTTACACTATTTATGACTTGATTGGATTTATATTTTTAAATTAGGGTGAGGGGTAAAATGGGGAAGTCAATGGAAAAAATCGGTTCCCTTAATTTGCTAAAAAGTCAAAATGGGTAACACTTAATGTGACGAAGGGAGTAGTTCTTATGGACGTTGTGGTCAAACAACTACTCCCTCCGTCCCAAAAAATCTTTCCTGTTGCATTTTTTGCGCATCCCATAAAATACTTTTATCCCGCCTTGAATGCCAAAAAAAATTTCGAAATAACTTCTACCCACAATAAAGAAGAAATGTTGTAAATTTTAGGCATTTTAGATGTCAGTAAAAGTGTTTTATGGGATGCGCAAAAAATGCAACAGGAAAGACCTTTTGGGACGGAGGGAGTATAACATAACTAGTCTCTATATTAGAAAATTTGTAAAATGTACACAACACTACGCATATTAGGCAAAAAGGTTAATCATGTAACAGTAAAAAAAAGCTAATTTCAAATTTCTGTTGGGATGTGTAACCTTGAAAAATAGTAAAATATTTTCCATCTTTTAATTAAATCCTTACAAAAAATTTGTCGTCTCTTCTATTGTGAATTCCTTCTCTCTTTTATAGTGACATTATTCTGTCTTTCAAATAGTTTTATTCTAAGGTACTCGTTTATAGTGACATTATTCTGTTTTTTAAAAGCTTTATTCTAAGGTAATATTGTGCGAGAAAAGAGCTAGAAAAACATCATTCCTTGCCTTTAACCACGAAAATGAAGTTTAATTTCATCGGATAAACTTTTTGTTTTTGTTACATGCTTCACATTTTTTCACACTACACCTATTTTCTGTGTGTTTTACGTTTTCCTTAAAAAAAGACTAGTTATGCATCGGTTCTTTAACTACATGGACTATTTTACAACTTTTAAAAGTACAAAGACAATTTATCCTTATTAAAGACCACATGGACTATCTGTGCATATAACTCTAATAAACATTCCTTTTGTTTCTTAAAACCATTCCTACTTTAATTTGACTTTAGGCTAAAATAAGAAGTACTCCAATTTTACCCTTGATGTGGGGTAAAAGTAGGATGTGATGAGTAGGCTATCAATGAAAAAAAATGATGTGATAGGCATGGTAAGAAAAAGTAAGAGTAAAAATAATTTTTTTATTAGAAAGTAGAAATAATGTTCTGGGGAAAGAGAAAAATAAAAGAGGAATATTTTAAGAAACATATAGAATAATTAATTAACGTTAAAAGGAGGGACCATGAAATCCTTGAAACCAATATGTATGTATGTATGTATGTATGTGTGTATGTATATATGTATGTATGTATGTATATACTCCTCCGTCTACAAATAAACTCCTCGTTCACTATCCAGATGGTCAAACTTTATTCACTTTGTTGGTCTATTTTCGTCACTCATTTGATGAAATAATATAGTCATGTCATTTCTAATTTTGTAGATCTTTTGATATAATTTTTTAATATGTAATTTTTATTTTTAGAATTTATTCCATTTTTCATATAAAATGATTTGAAAATAATTTCAGTCAAACATCGTAACAAGCAACGGAAAGTTTATTTGTGGACCGAAGGAGTATATATATATATATATATATATATATATATATATATATATATATATATATATATATATATATATATATATATATATAGGTAATCTATTTGTTCTTTTTTGAATGTGGGACGAAACTCTAATGGAATGTAAACTCCTAAAACACAAAAAAAAAGTACGCGGAAATATACCACCAAAAAGTGTTAATGGTCACGCTGTTTAGAATAGGGTTGAACGGACATGATTAGATTTTAGTCTTACTTGGATAAATGTTAGTGCAAATGAATATGAGTTTTTAGTGCACCTTTTAATGTTCAAGGTAAATTGTGTAATTTTCAAAGCTAGAATTTGAAAGTAAACAATGCATTTTTGTCATCCAAAATATCTGAAAGCTAAAACACAAGATCAGATATTCATTTTCAAATCGGATCGACCGAAATGGTAGATGAACTATTTGCATTAGATACATTTGAATATTAACTCCTAGCTACTCTAATCCTTGTGCTCATGCATAAAATTAGAGAGGACTCAATAAGGGTGTAAATGTATAGAGTGACATGCATACATGTTGGGCCAGTGAATTAATTAACATCATATGAGTCCTGGTTGAGTTGCACGGAACTCGAATTATATTTCTCACAATACTCCCTCCATCCCCTAATGTTTGTTTTGTTTTGATTTTTGGAACTGTTCATCTAAGTATTTTGACTCATCAAATTCTCTCAATATGTAAGTCTAAATATTGTCATGTGTGATCTTGTTTGATTTGTCTTAACATATAGATTATTAATATATATTTCTATAATTTTTTTAATATACAAATTATAAGATAAAATAGATTAGAGAATTGTATTAAATAATGAATGATGTGTAAAAATGAAAGTGGATAAATACTGAGGGACGGAGGTAGTATATTTTTTTTTGTTGAAAGAATATTTCTAACATAATCTAGCTACCCACGTACTCTATCATTATTCAATGTTTTATTCATTATTTCCTTCATTATTCATAAAAGCATGTTAACTAATTAATTAATTAATTAATGTGTAAACCAAAAATATCCACGAGGCCAAGGTCGCCTGGTAGACCCCACTGACAGCTAATCGTACGGAGTGTATATAGATCCCGCCGGGGATTACGGAAGTACTTATGAACGTACTTTACCACAAATCCACATTTAATTAGTTCGACCGGTACGTCGAATGTGTACCTTCCTACGCGATTAAAACCAAACAAACAAACAAATTCATTAATGGGGCAAGTGGTGAATTATGTTCTCTCCCCAAACAAAAAAAATACTCCGTAATAAATACAGAGTAATAAAAAACGTAACATTAAGATCCATAAACGTATTTTTTTTTTTGGGAAACAAAAAAAAATCGAATGAAGGGTGTAATATGCTAGGATGCAACTAATTATTTCATTCGCAATTTCTCTAGCACAATGTCATTTTTTCTTAATTTTCGTGTCACGTTCAATTCGCTTCTTCTCAGGAACGGATCATAATCACACGCACAATTATTATGATAGATTATGAAATTATTTTGAAGTGAGTAGAGATTGGGCAGAAGCTAAGCAAGTGTGAGCTGGTGTTAACAAGACTTAATCATCAAGTCAGTGTGCGGCTTTAAGTTTTAGAATAGATAGGAATCCAGTGCCAGGGTGGTTGATGGGTTTGTTTGTATGAAAGGAACATGCATCACAACTTATTTTATCCCAATCCTACCTTTACCAACATCATGCACCAAGGTTTATTAATATCCGAATGCGAACCAAAAAAAAAACAATTAAATACTCCGTACTTAAAATCGAATATGACCTTTGTCGGATTGGGTTTCAGTCATTACCCGACTCGATCGACACTGATCCAACTATAAATAACTTTTTAAAAAAATCCTAAATCCCTATATTACATTTGTTTTTGATGCATATGCTTTGAATGTTTAAAAAATTATTATATTTCTTTGTGTTTATTTTTGCGGAGAAATCTTGTGGTGACACATGTCTTATTTTCTTTGTACTTCGTGTATAATTAGTTGGCCAACAATTTACTA